TTATTACTATTTTTATTATATTATACATCTTCCCATAAATTTTCATAATTAATTTCATTATTATAATAATCATCATCACTATTATTATTAATATCATTATTACTATTATTATCACTATTGTTGTCACTATTATTACTATTATTATCACTTATTATTTTTGCCATCTTTATCTTCATGATTATCATCGATTTCATCAATTTCATTATTTTTATAATTATTATTAATCTCATCACTTTCATTTTCTAAATCATTATTTAAATATCAAAATTTCTACCAATTTTACTTTTTCATTCATCCAATCATGGTCAAAAATATATTTATCTTCTGAGCCATCCCGAGAGTTTGATATTCTACAACATTTAAATGAATATTGTATAAGCATTGGATCAATTTTATCTCATGAAATTTTTACCCATTGGACATTATATACATCCAGTTGAAGTTTAATTTTTTTATTTCTTCAGCCATCCAATCATTATAACATTGGCGATACTATAAAATTCAATAATTTTAATTTAATAACTTCAAATTATTAAATAAAATTAATAAATAATAAATAAATTTAATAAAAAATAAATTAATAGAATAAAAAATATCTTGTTTTTAAATGATTTATTGATATTTACATCAAGTAGTTGTAATTTACTTGTCAAACCACCAGGAATAACAGCCAAATTTGTATTTTTTTCATCAAATCTATTTTTTACAGAATCTGTTAAATAACTACAAAATGAATCTAATACAAGTAATGAATGAGGATCAATAGATCTTGTAGTATGTTGATTCAAGATGTTTTTAATTCACCAAATTATTTCATCCGAATTCATATATCCTTCCCAATTTGTATGAATTATTTACCTGATGGAAAAATTTGTTATGGAACATTTACAAGTTTAAAAACTATCAATGATGACAATTTTGTACCATCTGCCATACAAGAAAGTACCACAGTAAAATTTGATTTTTTGTGCCTTGTAGTACATATGCTAACTGTTCTAGAACTTGTTTTTTCTACTGTCATATTGTTAGGCATATCAAAAGTTAAGGGTGTTTCATATATATTTCCAATTAAACTTAAAGAATAATTATATTAAAAATTGTGATAAAGAATAAATTTACAAATTCATGTTGTTTTTTTATTAAATCTTCTGGTAACATTTGTGCTATTGTTGTACAGTGGTGATTACTAAGTTTATAATGTATATAAATTCCTTTAACCATTTATTACTCCATTTGCATTTTAATATATTAGAATATATTGTAGTATATTGTAATTTTCTAGACAAAACTTTAGCTTTTTCTTGTATTATATAATGTAAAATTACTTTTTAATTAGAGCACAAAGATTTAACTCATTTGAAAAATTCTGTTTCAAGTATTGAATATTGAAGTTTTGTACCAGTAGAAAGTTTTTTAATATGTGATTTTGTTAATAAAAGTTGTTCTTTTTTATTAAGCCAATCTTTCAATTGTTTAGGTTCTATACTAGATTTTACTACTACACTACATTTAGAAACTTGAAGATTTCTTTTAAAGAATGTTACTATTGTCAACTTTTCTCTTACATTTCAACTTCTCTTTTTTTATTTATAATTTTTACTTATTTTAAAAAGCTCTGGTTTTGAATTATTTTATTTGAAAAAAATTTTAATACATCTTGATATATACAACATATACGAATATCATATAAGGAAACTATGATTTGTATTTCCTTACTTTATATCCTCTAAACAAAAATCTATACTAAGCAAAATACCCTTCTCCATACAAAATATTCTTCTGGATGCAACTTAAATCTTTGAAAGGTGGGATGTAAAGTACCTGGAACTTTTGATCAGCAAATTATAGTAGTTGAAAAATTATAATAGAATTTTATTTACTGATAAATATCTAATGATAAAATATTAACTTTTTATAGAGAAGTCCAATTTTAACGAAATAATTATATTTGCACGTAAAATTATTTTGGGACTTTGAAATTGTAATTTCAAAAAAAAAAGTTGAAATAGTTTTTCATAGAAGACAAAATTATTTTATTTAAAATTCAAAATTTTTTGATAACTCAGATTTATTCTTTGATTGAATATACTGTATACATAACTGGGTACTTTTTTTACTTCCATATATAGAATAGGTTTTACATAAATTTCAAAAAGTCAAAATATCTCAAAAATTCAAAATCAATTTTGAAAACATGTATAGAAATAATTACCAAAATAGTCAACTTGAAGGGAATTTAATAATCTATAATTTACAAAAATTGAATTACAAGTTAGTAAAATTGCTTAATAAAATATGAAAAATTATAATAAAAATTTATCGACTAATTAAACAAATAGTTTGGTTAATAACTTGACATAGAGATATTCAATTGGAGTAAAAAAAGCATCATTTTGAAACTAGAACATAAGATTCTAAAAATAAAAATATTATTACACAAAAATTTACAGAAATACAAATTTATATTATAATTTCATTTAAAAATTTACAATATTAAGAACTTGTAAAAATAATTAAAACATTATTTTTACTTATTATTATATAAATTATATTATTATTTTGATTTCAAATTATTATTTTATTTAAGATTACTATAATTTTAAGTTACTACTTTGATTTTAGATTACTACTTTGATTTCAGGTTACAATTTCAAGTAATTACCTTTAGAAATTTTATTACTGTTTCTACTTTCAGAAATAATTATAGCAGATATCATTAGTCTATATAATTGTGTCAAATAATTATGTCAATTATATTGATTATCAGATAAAATTTTATTAAAATAATAAAATATAAAAAGAAAAACTAGAAAAAATCTACAATAGTATAATGATAATTATGTAATACAACTATTTTTCTTGTTATGAAAATTTTGTTCCCATGTGTTATATTATAAGAATTAGAGTTTATTAGGATAATGTATTTATCACTATATATTATATCTATACAGTTTGTCAAAAATAAAAACCTTTAACTCAATTCTTAAAATTTTAGTTGTAGCTATATAATTACATCAAAATAATTGTATTAATTATATCAATTGTATTTATTTTTTAGATAACTTAATTTCAAATTTTTGTAATTTAATTATATTTAATTAAGCTTAATAGTTTTAATAATATATATAGTATTGACTATGATTTACCTTTATTAAAATACAATAATAGACAACTAATAGCAAGGAAAAAGATTACAAAATAATTATATAGATATGTTAAAGTTGAGAATATTCAGCACGTAATGCCTTATTGTAACAAGTTGTACTAACTTGTTTATAATTACTAGTAAAAGAAAAGTAAATTGAGACAATTCGGTCAAACAGAGTATTTAATAAATAAATAAATAAT